AGAGCCGGGGGGAGGAGGCCGAGGAGAACACGGCAGGTGAGGAGGCTCCTGCGAGCTGTGGGGTGAGGCCCGGGCAGGCCCTGACCAGCGGGTGGGCCTTCAGAAAGGGGTCCGTTATTGCCCTGGTTAGAGTGCCATCCCCATCGGCCAAGGTTGGGGGCTCAGTCCCTGGTCAGGGTACACAAGAGTCAACCAGTGAATGCATACATGAGAGTAAGTGGAACAACAGATCAATGTTTCTCTCCCTTCCTCTCTCTCTCTCTCAAAAAAAATTCAATTAAAAAAAAGTGGTCAGTTTTTAAAGGAAACACGCACATTCAAGCCCAAGCAGCAGGCGGTGTGTGTGGGCTCTGCCACGGGAACAGCAGCAGCGAGAGCCTGGGTTCCACCTGGCCTCCTCCTCCGCTTCTCATGTGGTGCGTCCACCACGGGGCCTGCACGGCCCCCCGCTGGCGGCACACAGTGGGGTGGGGGGTGGGGGGTCCACAGGCCGTGGGCAGAGGCCCCCGCCCCGCGGCCTCCCAGCCCTGGGGGCCCAGGCCGCCCGGAGGAGGCGCTGATGCCCGCTGACCCCCGAGGGGCTTCTTCCTGGTGAAAGTGGAAGTCGGGGTCTGGGCAGGAGCCCGTGAAACGTCCGTTCAAAGGCTGTCACCGTCGCTGCCAGCCCCGCCAACGCTCCTGTCCTCGGGGGGCTCGCTTCCCCTGCCCGGTCTGATGGCCCATCCCCTCCTGTACCTCCCGCCTCCCTGCCCCTCTTCCGAGGCCTCTGCGAGACAGCCAGATGGCCATGCCAACTGACGTTCTCCTTCCCTCTTCCTTCGTTTCTAGAGCGAAGTCCAAGGGAAGTGGGAAAGGAGGACGCTCAGAAATCCCCGCAAGGGCGAGGTTTCCAGAACGTTCGCTGGGCACGGGCCTGAGCGTGCAGTCATGTGCTGGGCTGACCCGTGGAGGCGTTTGCCTGGGGTGGGGTGGGGCCCAAGTTCCACCAAGTAGTGCTGAACCCCAATCCTAAAGCCACCGCGGCCGTGCGACTGTGGGCACTTACCCGGGTGTCTGCACGAGGACAGGAGGCAGCGCATGGCGGCGGAGGTGGGGGCTGTGAACTGGAACCCCAAGTTCAAAAGCACGAGGCGGGCGGAGAAAGGCGGTTCCGGAGGGAAGGCGAGGTTGGCAGAAGCACGCGTTCTCGGTGCCCGTAGAGGCTCGGGGAGAAGTGCCCAGAGGGAATGGCTCCTCTGCTGAGCGGCTGGTGGAGGGGCCGGTGGGAACGGGAATGTCGGTTTCCAGTTTAGGTCCCTCTGGATGTTGATGTTTTTGTAAAAGCAGGTTCTAGGTTCCTGGTGTCTGGTACCAGCAGGCCACACCCCTCCCTCCGCTTCCTCCCAGCTCATGTTCCAGGCTGTTCGCCGGGGACGTGGGGTGCTCCCGGGGCCTCCTCAGGGGGTTCCTTGAAAACGGGGAAGCCCCGGCTGAGGCCGCGGAGAAAGTCAAGTGCAATTGTAGGACTTTTTAAAAACGAAGCCGTTTCCTGTGACAGCGCCTCGCTGGGTGTAACCCTTCACCGCGCCCAGGTGGGCAGGGCGGGCGCCCTGGGGCTCCGGGGTCCTTCTTGGCCTCCCGCCTCTGGTGGCAGTGCCAGCCTTGGAGATGCCACTCCCGTCTCCGCCTCCAGGTGGCCTTCACGTGTGTGTGCACATCTCCTCTCCTCCCAGGGACACTGGTCATCTTAGGGGTCCCTTCTAGTCCAGTCTGACGCCATCCTAACGGTCCACTCTGCCAAGATCCTGCTTCTGAGTCAGGTCGCCTCCCAAGCGCGGGCGGGGCCGTGGTGACGTCTGCCCTCCGGTCAAGTGCGCGCCGCAGGGTCACTCGCTGCGAGAACCGACCCGGCGGCCTGGCTGGTGGAGATGGGTTCAGACAAGGCTCCGAAGGCACCCGAGCTGAGAGTCTGGAAGCTGACTGCGTGTGTGCCTGTTGCCTAGCGACGGGGACCAGGCTGTTTCTCGCTGTAGACACGGTCTCTGACGTGCTTTTCCTGAAGTAAATCCGCTTCTCGATCTTCCCAGGAAATTGAGAGGCTGTCGGAGCAGCTAGAGGAGAAGGAGCGGGAGACGCAGCAGCTGCGGAGCCAGCCGG